AAAAGCCTAGCTATGGAGAAAAGATGCCATGCGATGGGGTTCAAGCAGAGGGGTTTTTATTAGGAAAAGGTATCACAAAAAGGGGAAAGGAGAGGGGGAGGATGGGCCTCTGAGGACAGGAACAGCAGGAGAGAGGAAAGAGGGGCAAAGAGAGAGGGACAAGTCAGAGAGAGGGAGAGAAAGAGAGAAGGATGGGAAGTGGGAAGGGACCTTTTAAAAGCAAACATAGTGAATATGCATAGGTGGTGTTCTTAGAGCCTACAGCTGAGGGCATATCCTGTCAGAACCTCAAGGACAGGCCAGTACAGATGCCTGAATACTAACAGTACCTACATTTTAAGAGTTATTATTCACATCATGCTATATATATCTTCATTTGCATGACATAGTGTGTGTGGTGTATGCATGTTCAGATAGGTATACAGGGGTGGGTAGATGCTTATAGAGGCCTGGTACTGTCTGACATCAGGAATGTTTTGTTTTGTTTTCTTGAGAAAGGGTTTCTCTGTGTACCCCCAGCTGTCCTGAAACTCAACTCTATAGACCAGGCTGGTCTGGAACTCACAGAGATACATCTGCCTCTGCCTCCCAGGCGCTGGGATTAAATGCCTGCACCACCACTGCCAGGCAGCATCAGGAATCTTCCTCAGTCACTTGCCACCTTATTCATAGGTCTCTGCACTGAAACCACAACTCAGTGGTATGGATAGTGAAATTACAAATTCACTGCCACACCCACCCAGAAATTAGATGGGTGCTGCAGATCTAAACTCCTGTCCAGCAAAGCACCTTATCTAAAGACAACCAATAAGAAATTAAGTTACTTAGGTGGAAAAAAAAAAATCAAATGATTACATGAAAAAAAAAATGGCTTGCTGGATATTTAAAAGATATTTGAAGCTAGATTAATATTTGAAAAACCAGCCAGGTACTGTGGCATGTGCCAGTAATCACAGCTACTAGAGACATTCAGGCAGATAGATAGCTTGAGCCTTTGAGTTCAAGGCCAGCCAAGACAACACGGCATGCCTTTGTTTTATAAATAAATTTAAAGAAATCAACAAAGAGCTTGGTATAATGGAGCATCCCCATAGGCCCCTACCTCTAGGACAGCCTCAGCTATGAAACAAGTTCAAGCCCAGTCAGGGCTATGTAAGAACCTGCTCAGAAATATAAAAATGAAATCCTGCATTGTTCCTTTTAAGAAAGCAAGATTTGAGCTGAGGATGTAGTTCAGTTGGTAGAGGGCTTGCCTAGCATTTATAAAGCCGTGGGTTCGATCTCATTACTCCATAAACCAAGGGGCAAGCACCCTATAAACTGGCTGCAGTAACACATGCTTAGTAGTCAGAGACACAGGAGGAGCAAGGCCATGGTAACTCTTGAGGCCAGAAAATGCTACTTCTCACACATAATAACCTTCCTGTATTACAATATAAATTTTATATTGTAAACTAGCATGGTTGCATTTATATTTTCTTTAAAATGCAAACATTCACCTTTAGGCTAATCCCAAGATAAATATATTAAAATTCAAACTTATATTATGAGAAAAAAAGCAACAGATGTATATATAATAGCACTTGGGATACTGACAGCAGAATAGTACTAAGTTCAAACCAACCTCTACTACTACATAGTTAAGACCTTGCCTCAAGGGCTGGGTTAAAACCAACCTCTACTACTACAAAACAAAAACTGACTTAAAAACTTAAAGGGCTGAAGAGATGGCTCAGAGGTTAAGAGCACTGGCTATTCCTCTAGAGGTCCTGAGTTCAATCCCCAGCAGCCATGTGGTGGCTCGAAACCTTCTATAGTGGGATCTGATGGCTCTCTTCTGGTGTAAAGTTGTACATGTGGATGAGCGCACTCATATACATGAAATAAATAAATCTTTAAAGTATTTGAAAAAAACTTAAGAAAAACATGCTAAAAGAGGGCTAAACATAAAATGTATGTTTATCAGTAGTTTCCTACTTTTGCAAGCACACCTGGAGTTTAAGATACCTATCCTGGGACATTGTATGTATGTGGAGGCAACACACCAAAAAAATGTGGGGTAACTTTAAAAACTGGTTTCCCTAGTCCTCCCTTTCCAGGTGACCCTAATATGTGTACTGAAGTATACTTTACCTAGGAGAAATTCCCAAGCACCTGCTAGCCAAACTGCCTGAACTTCATCAGCTGCAGAGCAATCGGATCCTTTCGTTGCTTTTATGGAAATCAAGGGTAATACAAGAAATGCATGACTCCAGTATGGCATCAAAATGACCAATCATCTAACACTCCTAACTCTGGTCCCCAAAACTACCATGAAGGGATCTTAGAAAACACATGTCCTGCAGAATGTCCCTTATCCAACACTCCTGCCAGAGGCTCGGTTTTCATTTTAAGTCTTTCCGATTTACAAGACGATTCACTACCAGGTTCCCTTCAGTAATCAGCTTCGAAAGAATCACTGAGCTGATAAAACACAAATTCTTTACTTATATAAATGCAGTCTTCTCACAATTTTCCCAGAACTCGTCTAGTCTGTGAAAGAAGATGCAGGCATCCACTTCCTTGAGAAGAAAAAAGATCCTTTCAATATCTGTTACCCCAGAAGGGTTTCACATGTTTTGAATTCTTCGGGTAAAAAAAGTTTTCAGACATAAGTGCTTTCTTTTATATTAAATGGCTCTCTTGGTGATAAAATAAAGATCAATGTCACTCTAAACTCCAGACTAATGAACTGCAGGGAACAGACAAGAAATCTGGCAAGAGCTGAACAGAGGTCTGCTCAGAAGCTACTAGTAAAATATACCAGCTCCCCTCCCCCACTCCCAACCCTTTAAGGTTTCAATTAAGATGGGGCCTAGTTTTACTCTTAGAAGGGGACAGACAGAAGAAGCACATTTCCAGCTAGGAAGTCTCTTCATGGGGGGAAGGGGGACAACTCCAGAATATAGACAAGAACCATTTCCTTCCTTCAGCTGACACAGGCGTGTGTGTCTTCCTCCCAGCCTGGAAAACACCAAATCTAAAGAAAAGTTTCATCACATACCACCCAAAAGATGGCATCAAGTTAATCCCAGTAACTTATTTTTTTAATCCAGCATTGGAATCTCATAAAAGATGGCATGAAATGAATTTTTAGAGTCCAGCATTGCCCATCTTCAATATGCCATAAAAAGAGGATATGTTTCCCCAGTTGTAACTCTCCTTTCTGCTGATGCTCCTGGATTAGGTAAGGGATGAGGTTGTTTAACAAGGTGTGTGTGTGTGTGTGTGTGTGCAGAAAGGCTTCTTCTGCAAGTCCTCCAGGATTCCTCAGAACTACCAAGAAAAGCACAAATGAATGGAAGATTCCATTACACACATAGATTATCACAGCCCATCCCCCATTAGTTTTTGCCAGGTGCACAATCTGCACGTTAGTGGACATGCAGGCCAGTCTTCCAGCCATTGTGAACTGGAGAATGAGCCCAGGCACGAAACTAAAAGAGAACCAATGAAAAGTTAATTCCTCTCTAAAAGGAGCCCAAGAATGAAATAACTTCACTATGTGAGGAATTATACGACATCAAAGGTTAGATAATGGACAACAGGTGTCTTTGGAGAGACAGAAGCCACAATGAGTTGCTCCTATTTTAGGATATCCATTCTCAAAGCAGTCTAGTAACAATGATTTTTTTTTCCCCCTCAAGAAAGTCAAGACCAAAACGTGGCTCTACTATTTAACAACTGCAAGAACCTGATGCTTTCTACTTGCTTTTTATTTCACTTTTTTTTTAATCCATTAATCCCAACCTTGTGTGGGCCGATTAAAATATGGCTTAGGGCCAGACTGTTTACTGATCCGTGAACATTAACTAACTAGAGATTTAATGTCAAGAAATGGGAAAGAAAAGCATCGGAATACAGGCTACCACCACATAAAATATTCAAAATACAAATCAAATCCAGGAGCAGGTATCACATAACTGCAATATCAGCCAAAGCGAAATCCTCTCTCTCACCATAACACTTAAAACTCAATCTTTACAGTAACCGAATTCCAGGGGGCCTCGAAGAATCCTAATTCCAGACACAGGTACTGGCTACCCCTGGAGATCTTCCGTTCCTCAGACCAGTCACAAAATTCACCACTTCTATTCTGGTCAAAGTGGACACTGAGAAAACACTTGAGTCTACAGAATAATTCATTCTCTTTCTCTCCTTTCCACAAAGACAGCATATTCCAAAAATGGAGAACCCTTTCTTTCCCCGATCGAGGCCCCCTTTCTTATGGATTCATTGGGCAGGATTACTCTCTCCGGCATGCAATGGGAGAACGCACACTTCTGCTTTCGCTCTTAAAAAGGGGGTAACCCAACACAAATGCACCTCTTCCTCTCCTGTATTGAGTAAGTGAGGTGCTTGCTCTCTCTGTCCACCACTGCAAACGTTCCGAGAAGTGGAGGGAAGTTGTCAGCTGCAAATACAAAGACTGACGAGGGGGTGCCTCCAACTGAGAAGTGGGACTGGGGGAGGGGGGTCCCTACTCTCTGCGGTAAGGCTGCCCAGTCTCTGCCTAGAGCTCCCTAAAGTGGAAAGATGCACCCTTGAAGGAGAGCCCGTATCTGATGAAGGAAGGGGTGCTCCGACTTTAATCGGGGTCGGAGGATGGTGTTAAAGCGTACCGGGATGGAACGCAGCAGTTGCTGGGGTGGGAGGCTGGGGAGGGGGAGGTCGCCGAGGGGGAAGGAGGGGCCCCCGCACTTGAAGGGGGCTCTGGGAAGAGAGGAGGGTCTGGACGCGAGAGCCGCATGGGGGAGGGGCCGCCCGTCCCGGAGGCGGCGGCAGGGCTGCAGCCTCGCGGGGACCATGTGCGGGACAGCGGCGGCCACCCCGCGGGGCAGCCGGGGGAGCAGGGCCCGCCGCGGGCGGGCGAGCGAGCAAGCGGGCGGACGGGCGCGCGCGCGCAGGAAGCCGGGGTCCCGGGTTACGCACGAGGGGCGCGAGCCCGCGGCCGGACTCACCGAGGCTGCCGGCGAAACCGTCCATCTTGCGGAGGGGAGAACGCGCCGGGCTCGGGGCTCAGCGGGGCGGGCGCTTCATTCAGCACAAGGACCGAATGTGGCGGCCGCGGAGCCTGACGCGCTCGTCCTCGGCGTCGCCCGACGCGGCTCCTGACTCCCGCCTCTGCCGTCCGCCCGTCACCCGGAGGGTTGGTCGGTCGGTCGGTCGGTCGGCTGGTCAGGGTGAGAGCCGCACAGCCCGCCGTTCGCCCGGCCTCTCTCTCTCTCCTCCTCCCTCTCGCTCGCTCGCCCAAGCCGCAGCAGCGAGCGCCGCGCCCCGCCCCCGCGCCCGCGCGCAGCCACGGCTCCGCCCCCGCGCACGCCGTCACGCTTCCGACCCCGCCCCCCACGTGATGGATCTGGGCGGGGCTTCGCAGACACGCCCCTCCCTTTGCCGGGGCCCGGGCAGCGGCGGAGGTTACTACTGGTGCGGAGAGTCTCCTGGCTGCGCTTGCTTGCGGGTTCCCTGCCGGTGTCCTCCAACCTGAAGGGGGAGGAGGGGGCTGATTGGGCGGGACTCGTGAGCAGCCTACTGCTTGGGAAAGCCCAAGTGCACGGTGGGATTCTCTCACCTCTGGATACCTGAAGCTGGGCCTGAGTGGGCGGGACTCATGAGAATCCTGCTGCTTGGGAAAGCCCAAGTGCATGGTGGGATTCTCTCACCTCTGGAGACTTAGTCCAAGTCTGGACTATTATTATCTCTTGAAGGGAGATAATCCCACAAGGACTCTAAAATAGTCAAAAGAGTGAGTGAAGGGATTACCCCCTTTCTGGCTTCCCCACTAATCTAGTCAAGTGGGGAATAATAAGTAAATAAATAGAGGTAAGACTTCTTGATCCACTTGGAGCCAGCACTGCCACAGCAGCAGATTGCAGGATAGATGTCATTGCTGAATGAAGAAGAGTTCGTCTTGCCCAGTGTTTCTCAACTTTCCTAGTGCTGCGACCCTTTAATACGGTTCCTCATGTTGTGCTGACCCCCAACCATAAGATTATTTTCATTGCTACGTCATAACTGTAATTTCGCAACTGTTATTAATCGTAATGTAAATATCTGATATGCAGGATGTACGACCCAAAGGGGTCACGTCCCACAGGTTTTGAGCCACTGATCTTACCCAACTCTAATGAGGAGGACACTGGATCTTGAGAATGGAGCCTGCCCAAGGTCATGGAGCCTGGTTGGAAGTTCACCGAAAAGGCAGGCTTCCTTCCTGTCCCTTTGTTCTTTCCATCAGGATGCAAAGCTGCCCTTATTTAGCAAGCCACAGGATAACCTATCAGGAAACTGTAACACACTTTTTTTTTTTTTTTTAATAAGCCTGAGTTCTAGGCCCAAATCTATGAAGTCACCTAACTTATTTAGTCTTCACTTCATTCATTTGTAAAATCAAGGGCTAGACTTATAGCCAAAACAGATTCCTTCCTCCTCCTCCTGAGTCCTCTAAATCTACCCCCCCCCTCCTTGCAAAGAATTTGAATTGTTCGGGTCCCCTCTAGGTTGAAGGTTATGCAGACTAGAGTTACAAAAGACTTCACGGTGTTCCAAGACTTAGGTGGACATACCTTTTAAAAGAGCTGGGTTAGGAAGAAGTTAAGAGTCTGTCTATAGAATTGCAGGCTACAAGGGACAAACAGAAGGCAGAAACTCGTGATGAAAGGATTTACAGAATTGATGCCTTTTTAAAAGTCTTCCCTAACAGCCTGGGGGCATAACCCAGCGACATTGCACTGAAAATATATGAGGCATTGGGTTTGATCCCCAGCTCTGGGGGACAAAGAAACAAACAAAATCTTCCTGGAAAACCTAAGTAAAGGTCACAACAAACCTAGGGGTTCAGCGTTGTGACTGGGACCCAGTAGGACTGAGAGGTGGTACAGTCTGTAAACTGAACCTGAATTCAACCCCAGAACCAATAGCTTTAAAAGGGTGTGATGGAGTACACTTAAAACTCACAGTGCTGGTAAGGTAGAGACAAATGGAGCCTTGGGGCTTCCTGGCCAGACAGCCTACACAGACAGCCCCAGGCCAACAAGACAAAGCAGGTGAAGAGTTACACCTGAAACTGACCTCCAGCACACACATGCGCAAGCACACACAAATAAAAGCAAATCCGACATTGGCTTTAAAATTTATTATTATTATTATTATTTGGTTTGTTTTTCAAGACAGGGTTTCTTTGTGTGAAAGAAAGTCCAGGCTGTCCTGGAACTCACTTTGTAGAACAGGTTGGCTTTGAACTCAAAGACCCATCTGCCTCTGCCTCTGCCTCTCCAGTGCTGGGATCAAAGGTGTGTGCCACCATCACCCTGCTAAAAATAAATCTTAATTAAAAAGAGAGGAAGGTAATTTGGGGTGGATCAATTTTTAAGTTATTGGTAGTTGAAGTAAAACATGACTTTACACTTGGAGTAAAGATACATTGCCAGAGGCATTCTGACTTTCATACAGTTCACACTTCAAAAAGAAAAATGTACAACGTAGCATTCATTAAAAGCTCTGTGGTGCTGCGTGGCTGAGCGTGTTTCTGACAGGGGACAATATCTGTCTTGGCTTGACATCAGTGAAAACCAAACTCTCCAGTTACAATGTACTTATCTGATGACTGCAAGGATCTTCCCCCTCAATCAGCTTCTGGGTCTGTGTGTTGCAAGCCTTGCTTCTCCCACACTCCTCAGTCCTGCCAGTGCCAGCCATAAGGTCCATATCATGTTCTAACCTCTAGCCCTGAAACTCAGTGACAGGATGCCAGGTGAGTCAGTGCAGTGGGCCACAGGAGCTCTCCTAGGAACCTGTTGCTAAACACAAGTAGCCAGCAATGATTCAATGCAAGTGACTAGGGCCTGTGTGGAATTTATCACTAAGCTTAAAATTAAATGTATCCCCAACTCAGCTTCCCAAAGCCAGATGCCCCAAATATCCAGCTATTCTAATACTGCCTGTCAGAGTAGCATATGACCAGGGAAGACTGTAATGAAAAAAATACACCTTAGACACAACACAAACTCACATCGAAGGGCACGGTGCACTCCAGAGACTCAGAAGTTCCAGGTCATCTTCAGATCCATAGCATGTTTGAAGCTAACCTGAACTAAATAGGCCCTGTAACTTTGTCTCCAAAAACAAAACAAACTGGAAAGTTGGGGACAGGTGGTAAAGAAACCCTAAGCTCAAGCATTGTTAATTTCATGGTAAACCTGCCTGTGTTGGTTATTTTTACCAAAGTAATCCAGATTTATTCTAACTAGTGAGCCCAACCAAAAGTGTTTTTGTTTGTTTGTTTTTAAAGGCTGAGACAGAAGAAATGAAATAAAAATGCAGAATGAGGACAAATAAGGGTTAAGGAGATGGCTCATTTGAGTAGGGTAAAGTGTTGTCTGTGTAAGCCTGAGGACCTGAGTTCAAGTCCCCAGAACCCATATTAAAAAGCTAGCACTAGAGCTGGACGATGGTGGCACTCGCCTTTAGTCCCAACTATTAGGAGACAGAGGCAGACAGATCTCGGAGTTTGAGGCCAGCCTGGGCTACAGAGTGAGTTCCAGGTAAGCTAGGATAACACAGAGAAAACCTGTCTTGAACAACAACTACCAAAAAAGCTAGCACTTCAATATGAGCTTATAACCCCGCACTGGGGTGGCAGAGACAGGCGAATCCCAGAGGTTTTACCGGACCAGTTAGTTAGGTTAGCCAAAATAGTAAACCTTTTAGATCTTACATGGTGGAAGGAAATAGAAGACACTCAATATGGATCTCAGGCCCCCATAAGCTTACCAACATGCACACACCATACACGTTCTGGGTGCTACCTGTTCGGGCATGCTCACACACACATCAAAAAGACAATAACTTAGGTGAAATCACCTTGCCACAGTGATTCTGAAATCTTTCTGGGATCAATATTTTTTTTCCTCCTTAATGAGAATCATAAATTGAGTTTACCAGAATTCTCAGCAGCATGAAAGGGAGGAAGGGTATTTTCTTCCAATATTACTCTGTTCCTCAAGAAATCCCTTTGTCCAGTGAACTCCATGGTCCCTGGTTTCATTGCCCTATAAGGTTCTTTCTTGTTCTCTATCACATTTTGTCCCTAGTCCGTTCTCTAGGACCTAGTCACATGGCCATAGAGTGGGAAACATCTTACTGTATGTTCAGAAGGAACATGCAGCCATACTTCTTATTCATGGCATTCATTAGAGTTAGGTTTTTTCCCTTCAGTTTATTCATCTAGTCCACTTTTCTTGAGTGATTATTTAGCCCGTGTTTCAGTCACTAGGCTAAACACTGCAAAGACAGCTTCTAGAACAAGTAAGAAGCACTTGACAAAGCAGCCTCTGCCAGGCCTGGTAGGGCAGGATGCCTTTGATCTCAGCACCCTGGAGACAGAGTCAGGTGGATCTCTGTGAGTTCAAAGCCAGCCTGGTAGTTCCAGGACAGCCAGAGCTACACAGATAAACCCTGTCCTGAAAAGAGAAAGAAGAAAGGAAGGAAGGTAATTAGAACGATTTGGGTAGGGCTGGGAATGTAGCTCAGTTAGAGAGGTAGCACGTGACAGCCACATTTCTGTGACCTAGAGCTGCTGAGAAGACACTGTGACCCAGCGAGCAGGAAGCACTATTGACTGCTGTAATCACATGAGCAGTTACACTTCTCCCGTTTTGCCCACCAGTGCCGACTCCAGCATATTCAGTAGCTGGGCAGCAAATATTTACTGAGTAAAGAATAAACTTGGGAGAGCTGAAAAGCTGTCAACCTGGGCTCATTATTTTACCTCCCAATGCCCAGCTGTGTTAAAGCAACCAGTATCAATGTGTCCACCTTCTATCTCTCCATGGAGATATTGCCAACTACCTAGTCACCATAATGAAGTAAAACATTTAATATGAATCTTTCAAAAGGAGCATGCAGCAAGGTATTGTCATTAAACATGAAACACACACAGGACAGTAACTTGTTACTGAATCCCCCCCCCCTTTTTATTTATTTATTTATTTATTTTGCTTTAGATCTTTTTATTTATTAATTTATTTTTTACATTCCAACCCCGTTCCACCTCCCTCCTGCTCCTCCCACATCCCTCCCCCCACACCCCACTTCCCTTCTGCTTCTTGGAGAGGGTAAGGCCTCCGATAAGAAGTCTACTAAGTCTGTCCCATCATCT